GCTGAAACAGCGACGTCTACGTTGGCTTGGGCACGTCGTGAGAATGGCTGATGGTCGGATTCCAAAGGACCTCCTGTATGGAGAATTAGTGCAGGGAAATCGCCCCAGAGGGAGACCACAGCTGCGATACAAGGACGTCTGCAAGCGAGATCTGAAGGCCTTAGGAATAGACCTCAACAGATGGGAAACCCTGACATCTGAGCGTTCAGCCTGGAGGCAGTCACTGCATCGTGGCCTCTCCCAATTTGAAGCGACCCTTGCCCAGCAGGCCGAGGCAAAGAGGAAATCACAAAAGCAGCAAAACCAGGGAGCTGGACAGGGGACAGATTGGATTTGTCTTCAGTGTGGAAGGGATTGTCACTCTCGAATTGGCCTCCTCAGCCACACTAGACGCTGTTCCAAGTCCTCCACACAGAGCACGCTACCATAGTCTTTCGAGACTGAAGGATGCCTAACTAACTAATTCAAGGTGTTGTAATGTGTAATATTTGCACCTAATTCTTAGTTAAAAGTCCAACTCCAAAATACGGTAATCTACTTAAAGCTTCACGGACTATATAACTAATAATCATATCAAGCTTGACAGAGTTAAAGATCTGGAGAGAGCCTTCATACAATGTTCAGCTACTATCACACAGGAAGCCGCATGTGTCCTTTCATGGAACCTCAGTACGTTTGACTTGTTAAGTGCTCTCCTATTCTTACTTGTCTATGGTAAAATTTACAGATATCATCTCAGAGGTCTGCATCATCTCACCAAAGTAAACTACCTGTTCCAGGATTGTTTCCAACAGTGAAACAAAACGCCTCTAGAAAACTAAAGCATGTGTATAGAATTTCTCAAATGTTAGTCCTTAGTATGATTCTATTCAAGACCTTTTATTACAAAAATCAATAGCCATATACTGTATATTTATATACTGTACTCCAAAATGTGTGTGTCAGTGGTTATATGTTACTGTTGCACTGAACCTCCAAATTAACATGCACACTCTGGGACTCTCCAAGTTAAAGTGTATGTTATGTTGTGTAGAGTACTATTTACTCGTCCTTAAGCTACAAGCACTGAACTTCGCAGAGCAATCTCAGGTACTTCTGATACCTTATTTTAAGAAGCGTTAGATTATCACAGAAGTTTCCTCTATAGTTTCCTCTATCCACTGTCCCAGTGGATCCTGAGAATCTTCCTAAAGAGATGATCTGTAGTCTCAGTTCTCTATTACATGACCTGATATGCAAGGATTGATAAATGTCCTCCACTATTTCAAAGATAATCTCAACGATGCATGTTTAAATTTCAGATCAGTTCACTTAAACAGTCCTACACTGACCTGTGAAGGAAGCTGATAGCCCTTCTCAAGATATGAACTCCACACCAAACTAAGTTGGCATCAGTCTAACACAGAAGCCCAGCTGATCTTGCTAATGTTTGTTTTTTAAATCCAGCTATCACAGACAGACTGGTGCTGCATGTACAGTATTCATGTGCATATACACATTGTCACTACAGTAATACTACTCGACTGGAAATGTTTGCCAGTTCCTATTCATAAAAATGTGGAAACATTGAGCCTCAAAGTATGCTGCCATTCCCCCACCCCACTGTGGTACCCAAATGCTTTTAAAGATAAAAGTCTGTCCCACAAGTCACAAGCCTAATCATGCTACCAAATAATTCTCATTGAGCTCAACAGGGCTAAATTCCACACATTTTTTAAAGTAACCAAGTAGATTTGTCTTGAGTGCCCAACAGTCGGTTTTAGTTGCTGGAACCTTTTTCATACTAAAGATGCATTTATGAAACATCTTTTGAGTCTCCCCTTAGAGAAAGTGCTGCAAAAGTAGAATCACTAATCAGAGTGGCTGACTTGGTTTTTAGTATGTAAACAACGGCAACATGAAAGCACCACTTAAAGGTCCAGCAGGTACTAACATGCTTAGCTTTTCATTGCTTGTCCCCACCTGCCCTTCTCCTAAGTAATCATGGCCCCTGGGTCTCTGCAAGGCAGCTCATCATCAGATGCCCACAAAGATTCTCCCATGCACACGGTATTAAGCACTAACAAAACAAAAACAAAGGTCGCAAAAAAGGCAATCAGACTTGAAGGCTGGTCAAAATCAAAGTCAAGTTGCAATTCCATTTATTTGGAAAGTAGCTCCCAACACAATCAAAATAAGCACTTCAAACTTATTTAACATGCAACGATGAATAACCTGGCACTTCAGAGACATTCTGCCTCTTCTTCCTTCTGAAAGCCAAGACCACTTCAGAGCAGATGTTAAAAATGACTTAACAAAGTGCTATAAGAGATGCTCTTAAACAGTCTCTCTATGAAGATGACAAGAATACTAGTCCCCCTCGGTAACTGATGATCTGAAAATAAGCTGGGTCAATGTAGCAGTGGCAGACCACACAAACAAATCAAGCAGCTTCAAATCTGTATAGTTCTGTCACAACACCTCATTTTCTGAACTCCCATTAAAACTGATGGCAATAGAAGATGGCTCCGTAATGTGCTTTCAATGGTCCCGAGGCAGCAGGTGTCTCTCCTTGATACTGGGCCCACTGGGAATGAAACACATCAACAAGCCTCCTGCTTTTCACCAGCTGAGAGGTCAGAACAGGGGAAAAACAGACTGTACCGTTTGCCATTTAAATTCCTACTTAAGACATTACACAGACAGATGCCTGATGAAAAGGAGACAAAATAAAAGCACCTGCCAAGGAGGGAAAAATGTGTGGACTGCTACCTTCAACCCTTCCCTGGGCTGTTTTTGGGAATACACATCCCAGATTTCCAAAGACTCCGAGGCAACATCACCTGTTTCACCTCCATGTTCTCCTATGGGGGAGAACATGAATTTCCAGTTAGGCATCTCCTCTGTACAGTATCCCACCACCTCTGCCTCCTTGTCTCCACAAGGTCCTCTGCATCTCAAGACAAAACATAAGGTATTCAGGTTCTGCCTGCCAGAACACCAGAAAGAACCTTTCCACCACGGATGTTGGAAGCATCTTTCACTTATTGCATCACATATGCGCTCCACTCTCCATAGCGACCACCTCTCTACCATTTCCTCTACTACGGATGAGAGTCAGCCTTCTGGTGACTTATTATCACAATGCTCTGAAGACCCTCCAGGGAAGATCTACTGTAACTCCAAGGCAAAAACATATTGCAAAATTTGCCCACCCTACAGATCACTTATCTATTCACATTTCTCCCTAGCAAATTATCTTTCCCTCCAAGTCACTAATACACACTGTGTCTCACCCACACCCTTGAAGTGGTAAGAACCTTTCTTTCATTTATCAAGGACAGCTCCTACAGAGTAATCACCTGGACCAAAATAGTCTTTCAATTAATCTTCCTCTACAACATCTTCTACATAGTATTGTTGCCTTCCTTCTGCTGGTTGTCACAGAGGGAACTTTCATCAGGCATGCTTCCACCCCAAAAAAAAACACCCAAGACAGCTCAATGATAGAGCACATATTTTACAATCAAAAAAGGTTCAAGCCCCAGTACCTTTGGTAGGACTGGAGAGACAGTAGCCTAATACACCGAAAAACAGTCACAAGCCCTTATCAACTACACTGAGCTAAATGTACAGCTCATCTGAGGACTCCACTGTAGCTTCCCAAATTCAAACTTCAGGTTGTGCTATTATGGCCCCTAGAGTTGCTGACCTCTGTCTCTGAAGATCTTTGTTTTGAGGAAAATAATTTGCCTTGTCTTCTCCTTCCCTCAAAATTACTCCTCACTTCACCATGACTCTGTTCACTTAAAGAGAGAAGGACACTGACGAGAGATCGGGTTCAATTGTCTGCAGACAAACGCATGTACCACATTTTTCAACCATGCTCTGTTTTGATGAGAGATCGGGTTCAATTATCTGCAGACAAACACATGTACCACATTTTTCAACCATGCTCTGTCTGGGTGACTGAGGACAGCAATTTTACCCCCACCAAGTCCACCAATATCTATATTAACAGAGACTGAAGAAGCTTTTTTTAACACAATACAGTATTCTAACCTGCCTTGATCAGTTGATGTAAGGTGTATTAACAGAGACTCAAGAAGCTTTTTTGTAACACAATATCCTAACCTGCCTTGATCAGTTGATGTAAGGTCCGCTCTGCTTTGCTCTCCGATAACACAGACAACCAATCGAGTATCGCACCCTGCTCTTGACAGTTCCCTGGAGAGCCCAGTGTATCCAGAAAGATCACCAAAGAAGTGTTACAAACCTCCATCCCCTGCTTCTGCAGGTTTGAAAGGGAGGTTCAAACCCACTACCTGGGGTTGATCCAGCCTCATCTTCACTACACTTTATTGCACGAAACAGCAAGCGCCGAATCTCAAAGGAGAAGCTAAGGATGCAAAGAGATGCCCATCTGAACCTCACCTGTGCCTTAAACTCAATGAGTGGAAAACCTCCCAAACCTGCACCCTACTTACCTAACGTGGTGAAGATCAACTGAAACAAAAGACCTGAAGCAATCTCACCGCCTCAAGGGGCTACACAGAACCCTTGAGAAACTCAACCTGGCACCCCCTCCACCCACAAATCCAAGCAAGGGGAACTGCTTTTCCCGCTGAAGCACACTGCAGCTGCTTCCTCGGGAGTAAGTCCGCCTCCCTGCCGCAGGAGCTGCTCCCTTCAAGCTTTCCAAGAAGATCGATTTCAGAGGACTCTTCCTCCATCACTTGGGTTTAAAGAGACCACCTGCACAGCACAGGTAACATTCGCCCTCCCCAAAGAAAAATATATATATGGTTCTGCAGCCACTTCTTTCCCCCTTTTGTTTGCAACTGCTTATGGTCGCCTTTGCATCGCACACCACTAAGATTGCCAAGTTAATTAAAAGGGGGCATCACTCTTCCCCCCCAAATCCCTCCCCCTTCTGGCTCTCCACCATAAATAGTTCGTCTCTCCCACCCACCCCGAAAAACAAAAGGTGTCCAGTTTCCCCCTCTTTTCTCGTGACCCACCTTGGTTGACCAGCCGCAACGCGTGAGTAAAGGACGGATCCAGCGAGTCCTTCTCCGCCATCAGCTCGGGCAGGTACTTCTCCTCCATGGCCCGCACCCGCCTGCCCCCGG